GGAATGATTTCATCATACTTCCCTATTCTTCACCATAAACTTAATATTAGATACTGTGGGGCCAGCAGGTAGCATAGTAGTTAAGGTGCTGGACTCCCATATGGCTGACCATGTTTTAAGTCCTGGACCTCGAGGCCTGAAACTCACACTGGGCACATGTGCATGCAAAACTAAAATTTCAGGAGGACAACAGAGGAAAAGTGAATGTGGTGTGTCCATCCTCTGGGAGGTGATTTCTCACTGTCCTTCTAAACTATTTCCATTTTTCTCCATTGAGCCACACACATCCTATGGCAAAAGTTTAAAATGTATATATTATAGCTTGCTTCCCTTTTAGCAGGATTTATGTTACTCTTATAGGTGCTCTTTTCAAATTGATGTCTTATCCTTCTTCGTATCTCAAACTAGATCCCATTCAGACGTGTTATAAAAGTTTAGTATGAGTTTATTTTGTTGTAAAAATGTTACGAAATTCATGTACAGTTTCTTCATTATAAGCATTTTCCATGAACTTTGTGAACACTCCCAGAGCCACCTTTTAGGTCAAGGTAGGCTGTTACCAGAAAATGAGTTTCTGCCAACTATTTATTTATTTAATTATTAATTTTTAGGACCCTTTAGAATTTGGACTTGAATAAAAGTGATGGTAGGCTATATAAGAAAATAAAAACTGTGGGGACTCCTGAGGATGATTTTATGCAGAATTTGAAAGTCATTAATGTCCTCTGATCTAGAGAATTTGTCCCTTAAGATTCACCTGAAAAGGCCAAAAGGAGAAGGCTCCATTGTGGGAGTTTCATTGAGAAGTGAAATGAGCAAGGCATTCAATACAGGAAAAATTAATGCTAAATGACAACTGCTGAAAATATGTGTCACATAAAACAGGTGAAAAAAGAAGAGACTTTATAAAAGAGAAAGAGAGAGAAAGTAGGAAATGGGAAGCATATACTAATAATAAAACGAAAAAAAGAAATGGAGCTGACCAATCAGGAAAAAAAAACAATCATTATATATATATATATATATATATATAAAATGTGTGTGTGTGTGTGTGTGTGTGTGCAGTATATTTTAGATGGGAAATCACATTTTGCATACTGTGACAATGCTCAGGGAATGAATGTAAATTAATTTTAAAAAGCTTCAGATAAAAAAGCTCATGGAAATACGTGTAATGGGAAAACCATGTATGAATCTCAAAAAGGTTTTGTACCAAAATAAATTCATACTTTAATTTTGAAAAAATAGGGCACGTGCTGTGCTTCAGCAGTAATACGCTGATCGTGACAAGCTGGCCCAAGGTTCAAATCCCCAGCCCAGTAAGCCAGAAACACATCAGGCACACGTGTGAGTGCCCAGGATCCCCTGGGCAGGAGGACAAAGAAAGGAGAGAAGGAGGTGATGGTGTGATGACACACAGGGGAAGGTCTGCCTGTCTCTCTCTCTCTCTCCCTCAGCCGTGCATGTGGATATACTATTGTGGATAAAGGGGAAAGTAGTAAAAAGTCCAGAAATATGTCAGCTTACAGAAATATGTCATTCATTAATAGTCGTGGAGGTATTTTCCCAGAAGAGGGAAAAGACGGAAACCATTTAACCGTACAGTGGTAAGGGATGTGTGAGATCAATATGAGTAAATCCAGATGAAAGACCTGAGAGAACAGTGTCAGCGGTATCATGGCGAGACCAGCCGCCTTCTGAAGACATCACAAATGAGTAGAAAGTGCCTGACCACTGAAAAGATACTCACAGTGTACTGGTAAGTAAAAAGGACAATTTACAAAATAACAATGCAGGGCTCTCCTTGGAAAACTGATTTTTTAATTTGCCAGAGGGTTCATGCACTTGCCAGAGTGAGACAAAGAGAGAAAGAGAAAATATCTCATGACGAGGTGCTATCACATCACAATTCCTCATGTGCTTTTCAAGCCTGAGGGCCAGGAGTCCAAACATCATGGTCAGCCAGGGGGGATTTGGCCCCCTACACCAACCACCCACATGTCTGGTCCTCCAGAAAAACATACAAAAAAAAATTGGCATGAGGGCACATATGGTCACTGGAGAGAGAGATACAGAAAGGGAGAAAGCACCAGGTGCTGACAAAGGATTAAGCCGTAATTCCTCCTCCATCTCCCCCTCCTTTTAATATTTTAGGCACACCGGCACATGTACCTGGAATGTTCTGCAAGTTGTTGGGTCTGGAACTCAAACCCCAGTTGGCCATGAGGCATCCAGCTGTCTTTACCACTATACCACCAGCTGCCACTCCATTTTTAAACAGATTATATAGATACAAGATAATTATAAACTTCATTTATGCATGTTTAGGTTAATAGTAGTTGCTCCAGGTGAAAAAGATGACATCTTTTATCCTCCTCTTTTCATTTTACTCATTTATAAAATGTCTGCAATAAACATGTATTATCTTTTAATTCATAAAAAGGCAATAAATGCCTTGAATTTTCATAAAGATTTTACTTGAGGGTGAATACTTGATCAGTTATTACTCCCCCCCACACACACATATGGACAAAATTACAATGTAATGAAAAGATAATGCTTGTTCATTCCCAAGTAGACATTTCCCATCTTTCTGTTGCATAATATATGTGTGTGTAGGTGGGCCTAGTTGCCAAATTAATTATTCAATTTCCTACAAGTGATTTCAGCTTGCCCTTGGAGTTGATATTCAAATCAGGGCATGTTATCTATTTTCTTTGCTGAGGATGGAATATCTAGTTGTTGATCATAATCAGGTAACTAGAACACACTGTCGAAAGACTAGAAATCAGTTGAGAAGATCGTCAAATTTTACAACAAAACATTCTCAACTGATGTACACTAATAAATTATCTTTAAAGGATTAACTCATAGCTGTATCACTTTTAGTGTATTCCTCTATCAACTTAAAAACATGCAAAATAAAAAGAAAAAAAAAACCCTTTTTTAATTTAAAAATAGGCCAGTGGTTTAAAATGATGGTTGCACTCAAAGGTAATTACTCCACTTGAAAAAAGAAACACGCAGAAATCTTCTAAGTCTCCTGATGGGTCAGCTTGAAATAAAATGCATGACTATGCTCACAAAAGTTATGAAATGTAAACGCAGCACAGAACATTAAATAAACATGGGTAGCTCTCTGACAAGGTTGAGAATGTTAATAAGCAGGACGGTCAAACCCCATCTATCCTCAGAGCGCTGTGATAAGTACTCTGTAATAAGGGCAGAGCTAGGCGTGAAAGCTCTACAAGACAACTGAGAATGTTTTTAGTGCTGTGCATATGACAATAAGAATCATTTTAAACCAAAACAGTCCCCCTCAAGGTCACCCTATGCAAAATGGCTCATTAACTATGTGATGCCATTTCCTTATCACGTTCTCTCTTTGCAAATTAATTAAATTTTACCTTTTTCAAAAAAAATATTTTTTCAAGTGCCATAGTTAAACTATGATAGTTCATTGAGATAATAAAGCTAAGTAGAATTTCTTTTGAAAATTAAGATGAAATACTCTCAATGGTTATTTTGTGGAAACAGCTAAATGCACAGTGTATCTACATGGAATTATTATATTATGTAAAAATATATATTGCCTTAAAACCATATTTGGGGTCGATTGTCCTAGATAATGACTCAAGCCACAGTCGCCAAAACCACTTGCTATCTTTTTAATAAGGTCAAACTATAAAATTTTAATGAATTTCAGAAACAAATTCCCCCTTTTAACTTCATTTTGACATAAGCAGTGTAATTTCTAGTTTTCAGGTTTCTATTTAAAATGTACAGATATTATGGAAAAAAATATCTAAAATGAGAAAGTAACTCTAAGTGAGTAGGTTTAGCTTAAGGGCATGTTTCTATATTAAAAATGAAAGTAGCAATGCCAAGATTATAAATTTGAGCCACCTTGGAATTTTTAGTTCTAGTAATTTGATTGATTCATATTTTTACAAGATTTGTTAAGGAAAAGAAATGTTAGATAAATGTCAATTACTGTACATGAAGTAAACTACTTCCTGTATTTTGCCTAGTAAAATGAAGTTTCACCTAATAAAACAAAATCTCTGTCTAAAGAACCAGAGTGCATTGAAGAAACTCTTGAGAATTGCTTCTGGAGAAATAATGCATTTGCAGAGCAGTTTTAATGGAAAATGCCAAATATGAAAATGTTCTACATTCTATCGAATGATACCTATGCATGTAGGAGGATCTGGTTGCCAAAAGAATCGGTTATTCAGTTGCACACAGGTGATTTTGGCTTGTCCTTGCAGTTGATAGCCAGGGTCACACTGGAATGTGATGGTGTCTCCAGCCTCCCTGCTGTCTCCGTAGCGGGTACCATTCTGAGGCATACCTGGATCATTGCAGGTGGATGCAATTGATGCTACAAAGAAAAACAATACCGAGTGAAGTGGCTGGAGATGTGGTTTCACACACATGAAGATGTAGCTGCTCTTAGGGGTCGAGGCATTATGTATTGCCATAATGAATCTTTTATCTACATAGGGACATATGAAAATAACATCTTTTCCAGAGACACATTGCATAATAAGCATCTTCGTTTGCTCACATTGAATGAGCTGTAGCAAAACCTTATCAAATTTGCAATCAATTGTGAAATATGTCACAGTGTTTCATCACATTATATTTCACACATATTATACGAACACATTTCTCTCTTGCTCTTTAATAATGCAGTATTTTAGTAAAAACCCAGTTTTAAAAGTTAATGATTTAATTATACTACACTAATCTCAAGGAACTTTAAAGTGAAATAGAAAGAATTCCCTTAAAACCTATGACATCAAAGGTGACTACATTGACTTTAGTCATGTTCTTTAAAAAAAAAAAAAAACTGTTTTATCTTTTAATTTTTTTTTGTACATTCAATCGCTGCATATCATTCTACATGCAAAATGAATGGCAGATAGCCAGAGAAGAGGGTGATCAGTTTTGACCAGGATATCACAAGCCTCATGAATTCATTGCCTTGGCAAAATGTTCAATAAATCCCTTTCACTCTCAAAAAGGTTACAATCTGGACAATAAATTATATGACTGTACTAATCTTAACACAAACTCTGAAAATAATGTCCTTCTCTTTTTTTGTCAAAAATGAAGTACCAGGAATTGACAATCAGCTGAGTAAAGGTGGCTTCCACAAAGCGGGCTGCTAAGAGAGCATGCAGGGAATCCTGGAGCCTTGCCATGTTACACTCTGGCAATCATGTAAAGCGTGTTATACTCATGCACCTGAAAGTACATCACAAAGGCAGCTCCCAACCCTGCCTGAGCCCAACTAGTGAAGACTTTCTCAAGCCTAGATTTTGTAACAGAGTTCTAAATCCCACCAGCGCCCTAAAATATAATGTCTTGCAGAAACTGTGTTTATTTTCTCTAATTTCTGTAACTGCTACATATTATGTGTTAAACTAAAAATTAAGAAGCTACACCTGAAGTTAAAATACTCAGAAATCCTTGTTTACCATTTTTTACTTTCAATTAGAATAATGTACTTCCTTTTCCTCTCCATTATTTCTGAATATGATTAAGCTTGCTTTTTCTTTGTGATATGCTTCAGGACATACTCCCCCAGGTCGAGAGAGACAGAGAGTGAGAGAGAGAGAGAGAACCAGCTTACCATTTTCCTATCTTAATGTTTGCAGATTGAAAGGAATGACTAGGTTTTGTTTTTGCTTTGTAAATTCCGGAACCTCACTATACATCCATGCATGTGGCTAGATAAAATAAATCCATTCCAACAGAAAGTTAGGAGCACAAAAAAGAACAGAACTGGGGCCAGCAGGTGGCAGGTGTGGTGGTTAAGGGCACTGACCTCCCACATGGCCGACTTTGGTTTGAGTTCCGGATCTGGAGACTTGCTTTCTCACTCTCTCTCTCTCTTACTCTGTCCCTCTCTCTCTCTCACTCTGTCCCTCTGTGGTCCAATTAAAATAAATAAATAAATAAAGTTAAATAAAATAATTCTTTAAGGAGAAAAAAAGACCTACTCTGCACCATTGAGGAATTTTTAAACTAATAGGGTAATAAACAAGCAGAATGGGGCAAAAAGAGTTAGACAATGCAGATTTTAGAAAGCCCCAGCAGAAAGTTTATGTAGTACACACATCACAGATCCAATAATTGGTCAGACCTGAAGTAAGTCTGAGCCCTGCTTATTAGTAATTAATTAGCATTTGATGATCTCTTAAGCACACTGATTTTTCAGCTGACTAATCAGTAAAAATAAGACTAATGCCTAGCCTTCGTAAGTCTGCTGTGCAGATGAGGTATGATAACTTGCTAACTTGTCTTTCTCCCTACAATTTTCTCTGCTATTTGAGAGCAGAGGCTCGCTTATTCATTCACTATTTCTCTGTAATTAGTCTTTATTAGGTATGAAAACATATACATACGTGCATCAATAACACAGAGAAAGTCAAACGAACATCATTTTGTGTGATACCACTACTGCTGTTAAGAAATAGAATATTACCAACAGATCGGTTTTATCAATACACATCAATGTATACACTTCCCCACTTCACCCCCTTCTCCCACTTCAGATAAAACCACTATCTTGAATGTTATGTTTATCATCTCCTCCCTTTTCTTTAGGAGTAAATTTACACATTCCAATAGTAGCCTCCCAGAGAGAAATAGAGAAACAGTAAGTGATAAATCACCCCCCAGAGGGGATGGTCACACTGCAATTCCTTCTATACTTTTCTCTCAGGGTTTTGGGCCTGCACACACATTCACCCAGTGTGAGTTTCAAACCACCATGTCTAGGACTGGAACTGCTGTTGACCATGTGGGAGTCTAGTGCTGCAACAACTCTGCCATCTGCTGGCCTCTCCTTTTATATGTTTTATGATTTATATAATAGAAAACATACATGATCAGTTCCTTTGAGACTCACTCTCTCTCTCTCTGGCTCAGTACCATGGTTCTGGGAGCCACTCATGTTGTGACATAACACTCTGGCATTTTCAGTGCTGTATAGATTTCTTTATTAAATTGTAATTTCTGATTTATGTAAGATTATTTTACATCTTGCAGGATAGAGGACGGTTTCTTAAAAGACTTAAAATGTGTGATAACCAAATCAAACATATAAACATATTCATGATCAGTATCTAACATTATATTATGTTGTGCCCATTTAACATACTGGGTTGTTGGAAAAGTCGTGATGCATTTTTGCATAGAAAAATATGCAAAAATATGCAAAAATGCATAACCCAATAGATAACCCAATAGATACTACCCAGCCATTTTGTTGTTTTTGGTTTTTTGAGGTGGGAAATGTATATTGAATCTTCAATATTTACTCTGCAGTAAACTACTCCATCACCTATGTGGCTTGCTTGGGAGGAGAGGGATGGCAACCTGGTCATCCTCTCTAGGAAGTGATTTCTTAATTTCTCTCTCTCTAGCCTCTAGAATTACATTCTCTACTTTCTTTTTATAAAGAGATGTTTGCCACAAGTTGCATATACTCACCAGAGACAGAGAAAAGCAGAGAGAGAGGAGAATAGAGGCAGTTCCAGTACTAGACATGGTGGTTTGAAACTCACACTGGGTGAATGCGTGTGCAGGCCCAAAACCCTGAGAGAAAAGGGCATGCATGCACACATGCCCGGCATGAGTTTCAAGTCAGCCAGTTTGGGACTCAAATCCCTTAAACACTATGACACCTGCTGGTTCCTGTATTTTGTATTGTGGTAATTCTTTTTTTTTTTTTTTTTTAAGAGGTTTTTGTAGGGCGCATGCACTCTCCAGAAAGAAAGAGATAGATAGAGAGACAGAAAGCAAGAAATCACCCCCACCCCCAGGGGGGATGGACATGCCACAATCCTTCCTCCTCCATTCTCCTCCCGGGATCTTCGGCACGCACGCACACAGGCCCGGCATGAGTTTAAGCCACCAGGTCCAGGACTTGAACTGTGGTCGACTACATGGGAGTCCAGTGACATAGCCATTACGCTAACTGCTGGTCCCATATTATGGTAATTCTTTACAATTTGTGTTGAAGGTACATCCTTCCAGAAGGGATTCATGTTTGATTTTGTGATGTGCTTAGAACAATGAAAGTCTTCCATTAAAAAAAAAAAAAAATTTCTCATCTTAGGGCATTTTGGACCTCACAGATGGCATGAATTACCTATAAATTAGTCATCTGAAATAAGCTTACAGTTATGAGTTATAGGTCTATGTCTTTACCTACGTCTATATCTACATATGTCTATTTTTTTTCTGATATTGAGAGTAGAATCCATTTCCAACATTAAGAAGACCATAAACTTTGTTTCTGATTCCAAGAGCCTTGGGCCTCTCTCAAAATGGAAGTTCAATGTCATGAGAAATCGACAACTGCCATGAAGACAAAGCAAACTTCTGAGTTTATAATCTCTGCATTTCCTATCCTTCGAAGGACTCTGATGATTCCTCATTTTCTTATAGGCTCAGTGATTAGTTTTTAAAAGCTAAAATAAACTTTATCCAGCACCTTTACAATATTTCCAGTGGTAAAATTTTCAGTGTTCATAATAATACTGAGAGTCGAAGTCCTTCGGTCAGTCTTACCTTAACTGTATTGCATGATGTTTGGCTCATTGTTCTGTCCACCACCGCTGTCACTGTCATGATTAATGTTGTGAATAGGGGAATTTCATTTGGAAATAGAATTCTTAGTGATTATCAAAAAGAGATATAGCGCTTGGTTTTCAGAGTAGGATTTTCAATGCTAAGAGATCAGGAAATGGCATATCCCTGTCACTTGAAGAAGGTACTATGGTATCCACTTTTATCCCAATCAATGGCAAAAAAATCAGAAAATAGTTGCAGAAATCCAAGAAAGCATTCCAACAGAAGACTAGGATAGCAGTGGGAAGCAGGGTGGCCTTCAGACACAAAGATTAGTATTTGGAAAGTCATGAATGTCTCACTCATAAGCCACCAATTTTTATAATATAGAATAGTGATCACAGAATTCAGTCACCAGAACCCTAACTCATAGAGGCCTTTTCCCAGGTACCAGAATGGCCCATGTACTAAACTAGCACTTTATGTATGATCTTGAAGGTACTCTCAGAGGAATGTGTTTCCAGAATGTACCTCCTATCTATGCTCTACTCTTGCTAAGATTTAATCGGGCTTCGAAGAAATTGTAAGCAAATCCTATTTTATATTTCCAGTCTCATTCATTGAACTGAGTGTCATATCCTCAAAGAAAATGTATCTTTTCCTCTAGTAAGTGACCACATGTATGATTAAGTATTCACTGCCAACTGGTCATTTCTGCCACAGTGTACATAGTGTTTAAATAATTTAAAATAATTATATAATATTAAAATTATATAGCAATAGTCATGTAGAAAA